AGATTGCTTCACCAAAATGGTATATTTTTTATTATAGAAAAAATCTATTTTAGGTAAAAAAAAAAAAAAAAAAATTTCTTAATAACATCTATTACTATCATAGATTACTAAAAGATATTATATCAGATAAAAAGATACAATTCATATAAAGATTATAGAAAATACTTTTTGAGATATTGAAAGTGCATATAAAACTATGTTTGGCTTTTCATCTTTAAATTGATGGACAAATAAAATAGATAAATCAAGTTTTGGAGTAGTATTTGAGGTATATTATCTATTATCATCAAGATAATTAGACAATTCTTTTGCCATTGACAGAGTTTACGTATAATAATTTAAAACATTCTTTTACTCAACAAACATTTTTTTTTCCAATTATAATTATCATCTATGATTTGATATTTTTGGCTTTTTAAAAATTAATAATCTTACAATAAAAGATTTAATAAATTATTTGTCACAGCTATATGCAATAATGAAGGCACAATTAAATGAAGTTCAAGAACAACAAAAGATCAAAATGGATGCTTATTGCAAGAAACAACCATAATTTAATATAGATGACAAGGTATGATTACTTTGTTGTAATATCAAGATTACTTATCTCTCTGATAAGTTGGACTATCATAGGTTTAGATCTTTTCTTATTTATGAATAAGTCAATTTTATTGCTTATCAATTATATCTACTTGACTTTATGAATATCCATGTCCTATTCGACATGTTTTTTTTGAGCTATGTAAGACAATAAATATTTCAAGAAGAAAAATGCCACCCCTTCTTCTAGAAGTGGATAATAATCAAGAGTTTGAAGTAGAAGAAGTCTTAAATTCAAGATGGCACCAAAATAGATTAAAATATCTTATTCATTGGTATGGATATGATATTAGTGAATGTACATGACAGCTGGCAAAAAATCTTGCAAATGCAATAAAGAAGATTGAGACTTTTTATGAATGACATCTATCAAAACCACGATGAAGAAAAGCAAGATTTATAAAAGACGATAATTGCTCTTTGTGGAACTCATTTCTAGAAGGAATGGTAATGTCACAGACATACGTATTTATTCCAATAATTACTTATATGATTAAGTAGTAGTAGGTAAAAATAAATAAATTTTATAATATTTTCTAGAAAAGCTTCTTACAAGTGTCATAGACGTGGTTTTGACTTTATACATGTTTGTAGTTGATTGGTAGGTTAGAAACTTGGTCAACAAATGCCACCCCATTTTTTAAAATTCATGTCTTTGATACATGTCAGATCTTGTTTGAAATAATTTTATAAAATTAATTATATAATATTTTTTAATTATTATAAATAAGTTATTTATAATGATAATAATAATAATCATTTCAAAAAGCTTTATATATTGATATGTGCATCTGTTTTTGTGTGCACATCGTCAAATCAGTCTATGAATATTTTATTTATCTTTTCAAATAATATTCCATATTCATTCTTGGCCCAAAAATATTTTGTATATACTAGTCTTAATACTTCTCACAACAATTGTTGCAAATTACTTCTAATATATTTTTGTTCATAATGTGTTATTTCTAAGGTTAAATTTTTATTTTATTTTATTTTATATATATTTATATATATTTATATATATTTATATTTATATATATTTATATTTATATATATATATATATATATTTATCTATCTATCTAAAGGATTGTTAAATTGATCCTTATATTTAATAAATTAATCCATCTATCATCCTTAGTTGCAGATTCAACCATTTTTTCATTTATTTTCAACTTCTACAAATTGAACATTGGAAAATTATTTGATTATGGTTAGGATAGGTGAGTTGATTCAGTAATTGCTTGGATCAATTTAAAAATTCTCTCTCTCTCTCTCTCTCTATATATATATATATATATATATATATATATCAATTTATTATATAAGTAAGAGTTGATTTGCTTGCATTTATTAATACCACTTAATGAACATCATTTCAATCCATTTTCATTAAAGATTTCTAATAAAAAAGATCAAATTTAAAAATTAATAGATTCCACGTTAATCTTAGGGCCTATAGAATGAAAATCCAGCATGGCATTTGTAGTTATACCTTTACAAGCAACTAATCAAAAGGATCATTCACAATCAAATCCAACCAATGTCAACACCAAATTCTTGTTATTTGTGGTTCAATAATTGTACAAAATCCAAAATTTTAATTGGTGATTTTGTAAAGCAAAATATGAATATCTATGTAGAAGAAGAATATTTTTTCCATGTGCACCATCTATTGCCATATAAACATGAATTGAATTATACATGAATTTCAATAATAAATAGTACTTTTGTAGTTAGCAATTCAAATGAAGGTGTCCAAGTTTTAAGCCTAAGAGTTGAAGTTACCACAGTGTTCAATAGATCTTTGTATGAGATGTTTTATTGTCCTAATAAAAAAAATAAAAAAAAATAAATAAAATAAAATATTTATATTTGGTTTTTTCTATTGAATTATAAAGTTGTGACAAAAGAATATGTGAGATTAATAAATCTTGATGTAAGTAGTGCAATGAGCAATAGTAGATGATCAATAAATGATATTGTATATAAATTTTATTTCAAAATATAGTAAATAATATTAGATTAGATTATCATAAATTGCTTTAATATAAAACAAATTATAGTAGTGCATAAAAATGCAACAAGAATTGATCTTCATTTAGTTAATTAAGAATTAGAGGATTAGAATGAATACATTTTGATTTAGTTTTTTTGCAACTATTCAGGTATATTATAGGCTTATAGAAACTACATGTTTTAATAGTCAATTCTTCAATGTAAGGAAATTATAGGCTCTAATAGCTAATAACTCCAAAAAATATAATTTCTTTTAATTTCTTGTCTCAAAAAAAATTCAATACAAAATATTCTAAATTAGAGGTTATTCAACTTATTCAAATATAACTAAAATTTATTCAACATATCAAATGTACATAGACCTACAAAATAATTATAATAATACTAATAAAAAAATAAAAAATTATTCCAAATAATTTATAAATACTACAGAATAATATAAAATAGTCTATACAAAATAAAATATAAGTGATGATTTTAAAGAATAAACTATCATAAAAATATATTATGCAATAAAATTTTATAAGTTAATAGAAAATCTAATATAATTAGTTTTAATTTTGAAGTATTAATTGTTTGTATTTTTTTTTTTTTTTTTGTACCTATATTCTTATTTAAAAAAAATAACTTTACTTCAAATTTTCTAACAATAAAGGAATTATAATGTTCATTTATTTTTTATTTTAAATAGAAACTAAAACAAAATAAAAAAAAAACAAATAACACAACACATTAATTTAAAAAAATAAACATTAACAAAATGTGTTGTTTAAAAAATTAAAAAATAACTATTCACTTAGAGACTTAAGTTGTTTTACAAAAGATTAAGTCTTTTGGAAAACATTCTTTTGTATTTTAATAATACTATGATTTTTAATATGTGTAATTCAAAATAACGAATTAATTAATTAAATTGCAATTATATTGTACTAAAACCATGACATGATAGGAAAAACTAATAATAGAAGTATCATTGTTTTGATGACCATATACTTTTAGAATAGTTCTGTAAGTAGTTTCAAAACTGTATAAAACAAAACTTATATATTTTTATAAGTACATATTCAAAAATTTAACTTCTGATTTCTTGTTTTTAGTTCCCTGAACTTATTTTCAAGAAGATGAAAAGAATAAAAGCAAACAAACAGACAACCAAACAAACATGTATAGCACATGATATTATATTATATTTTAGAATTTTTTAGTCAAATATTTTAAAATTTTACTATTCAAATAAACAATACTTTCTCTTATGATTTATATGCAAGTTAATTATTCTTTATTTGTATATGTATTGCACTAAGAATGAATTCATAATTATATCTATAACACTATTGAGAAAACGTTTTAGTATTGTGTAATTTGAATCTCTTAAAAAACATCCAGTTTCTTTTGTTCTTTTTTTAAAACAAGTATAATCTTCATAACACTCAGTATGCACATGATACAAACATTATTGTCTAAAATTAGTGGTGTTGTGGTTTCTATTGTAACAACCATTTCAACATGCTTTAGGATTGTGTATATACTTAGTAAGATTTGCTGAGGAGAAAACCATTTAAAAGATTAAAAGTGGAAATCTAAATATGATTCACAAACATATGATATTAACAGACCATTTGACAAGAAATATCCAACTTTTAAGAATGATCTCATTTATATAATCATATTGGATTAGCTATTTGAAAGACATTTTCTCATGTTGTGATATTGTCAAAATGGCCACAACGATAAGTTTGACCTTTCTCCCAATCAGATAGAGACTTCTCCCCGAACATGACTATACTTTCTTATTCGATTATATGCAAGTTAAGGTTTAAAACACCTTACCAGTGACCGAGTATCAACATTGAAGGAGGTTACAAGGTACTTCAATGACGCCCAAGTCCACATTATAATCTGATCTTGAGCTGGAACAGGAATCAAAGCCCTCAAAGCATTGCTGAAATAATATTAGATAGGAGTGAGAAATCACCCAGATCTCTCCTGCAAGTTGTTGATACAATCCTGGATCGATTCCACCTACAGCGTTGCAACTGCATACCGATATTAGAATGTTCGTCATTAGTTATGAGAATATTTATTACTAGAAAGTTCAGAAGTTAAAAAATGGACCACGGAAAGTGTCAGCACAGCAAAAGCTTCGAAAACCAATGCCACTCAGGAATCATGTAAAAGTTTCGTGAGCAACGAGAACATTGGAAGGATGAAGTGTTTTAGCCAGGATTCCTGCCGAGAATTTGCAGCATATAATATAGAGATGACTATCAGCTTTGGCACGAAGGCCGGAACAAACATTAGGCTTCATCTAGTACTTTAGCGTTGACGTGTACACTCGTATCATTGATCCCCAAGCAGAAAGTGAAACTCCATGCACAAGATATTCGAATACAAAATAAGGATGCTTCCATTTCTCCTAGAGCTTATGAACACAAACGCTAACCGAGGTTGTCAAAAGATCAAAATCTACAACTGAAGCGAGCAACAAGCTACACCAGGTGTTTCGAGCACAAAGCCAGATAAAGCACCATACATCCAAACTTTCTATGGGTTCAGAGATGGTGATCATTGCCAGCTCAAGTGTGCCCCTCGCAACGATTGTTGCATTTCGGTTCATTTGCTCGTACTCTTTGTACATCTTGCATGAGTCCCACAAATTCTTCCTCATCCCCTCAAACTTTCCTGTGCTTCAATGTCCTCACATTTGCCAAAACCACCAAAAATTGCATCATGAGCTAGGTTCAGGAGCATGCTGGACGTCTGCTGCCATGCGATGAATCTATGGAACTAGTGAAATACAAGGTTGAATGTCTGGCAGTAGAAATATTTCACCCAGTCCAAGTGAAACTTGGTACAGTTGACCAGATCAGAACACGGCCACCCCATCTTCTAAAGAAGAGACATGCATAAGGAGACCAAAACTTCTCTTCAGAGATAGCTGTTGCCCCTTCCTGTGAATGAACGTAAATCCTTGAATTCGTACTGCGCAAACCTCGGTTTCAAATACAAGTTGTAAAATGTCAAAATCTTGGAGTTATCGTCTCCTCCGCAACTGTCTCCCGCTTGTTGTTGCTGGTGTAGCAGGTTCTATATCTTTAGGCGGGTCAGGCTCAGAATCATTGTCGCTGTCCTCATCCTTACGATTACTTTTCCTTTTGCTCTTCTCCTTCACTGTGCAAGAGGGACTAGTGTCTTCATCCTCCACTTTATCTTTCCTTTTCTTCTTCTCCGCAGTTCCAGGGCTGCTGTCCTCTTCTTCAACACTTGTGTTGCTTTTTCTTCTACTCCTCTCCTTCGCAGGGCAGGAAGGGCTGCTGTCCTCATCCTCAGTGATACTTTTCCTCTTCTCTTTCACGGCGGAGGAAGGACCTGCCCCGTTGGCCATTTTTGCAGCAGCTCTTTTCTTTAGTATCGCAAAATCGTCATCATCATCGTCATCGTTTTTCTTCCCTTTTGCTCTTCCTGCCTTGCCCCCATCAGCTTCATATACCTGGATCTTGACCGTCTTCTTCACCTCTGTTGTTGCATTCTCATGTTCAGTTACCTCATCATTGGCATCTCTTGGTCTCCAAATGAACAGCGACCTGCAATTGAAAAGAACACTAAAATTAGAATATCTTTGCGGCAACACGTTTTCTAAAAATTAATCATGAATAGCACACGGAGATGTTACCAAGATATTACTTGCAAGGATTTAGAACCATGTCCAATTCATAGTCACTTTACTACAGGTTTATGCCATTAAATTAATCCTAGCGTTGAAATTAGAAAAATTGGTGTGTGTGTGGGAGCGGGGGGGTATGATGGTGGTAAAATAACCATCTGCTCTAAAATAAACAATAACCAAGCTCTAACGCTTGTTCTATTGTAGGATAAACTCACCTAGAACTTCCTGTTGCCATGCAATCGAGTCTTGGATGCAATTTATTCACAGTACATATCGTTGTAATACTGGGATCATAGACTTGCTCCACCAGCCGCCCGTTGCTCACGTCGATAAAGTCAATAGGATGCAAAGCCACTCCATTAAAATCATCACTTATGTAGCGACCAATCACTATCAAACATTCCGAGCGGTCCTTAGGATCCCACTCGGCTTTGAAGGCCGTGATGTACCTATTGAAATTATGGCTGTGCACGATCTCGCGACTGGGTTCTGATAGATCAGAACATATATTGTCCCAGACTCGGATGCGGTTATCTATACATGTAGTCAATATCTTGTTTCCGGTAATTGGGCTGAAATATGCGGAATTCACCACTCGTGGATGAGTGAGCGTTGCTAAACAATTGTCAGGACTTAGCATCCTCATATCCCAGATTCTTGCCTGCATATCCGATAAATACAGACAATTTACTATGAGCATAAAAATGCAAGTGAACATTTATTTGAGCTGTCTATCTACAAGATTCCCAACCAAATCAAATGTTCAAAATTGTATCTTCTAGAAATGTTGTATACATATTGTCAATTCTAAGCAGTGTACTTGAAGAGAGAAAGTTGGAATAAGGTGCACTGAGATGTGAATAAAATAGTCAAATCAGCAGAATCACGCACCATATGATCATTTCCACATGTAATGAAAACATCAGGATCTATGGGATGACAATGCAAGCCAACCACTTTGGTGCCCTTCTTATGCACGGCCGTGGGTTTCCCAACCTCTTTGTTGGCACGTGTATCAACCCTGTGAAAACATAAACATTACCAAGGTATTATTCAACTACAACGGCGCCAAAAACAATGACCTGAAATTCCTGCGGACATGTAAGTAAAAGACAAAGCAATAAACTTAAAGCTTACTGGTATAGAAATCCAAAGTTGTCGGCCGTTAAGGCCAACTCTCTCTGGTTGTTGAGATCCATAGCATGAATCATCCGCCATGTTGAAGGACCCTGCAAAGTATACAAGCTATGTATAAACACAAGCATTGCTAAATTCTCGTAATTGATTTGGAACTGACGTGCAGAGCTCAATTTCAATAGAGAGGCATCTTCCAGATCATAACAGTTCATAAAATACGTACCGCCCATCCATCTGGATTAAGGTCGAGGACTTCATTGGATGTTCCTGACTCTAAATCCGTAAAGCAAACCTTCCCATCCGAAGAAGCTGTGTACATCATACCATCCTGCCAAGGATGGAACCTGCACACATATCTTACAGGTAAATCTGACTAGAAATATTGCGAATTGATGATGGTACTCGATACGACTAGGTACTCATATCCAGGACATCTTAATATCTAAGTTACACTACATAATATAATGACTAATATTACACAATGCACCAGCACGGCCAACACTTCTAAACCACGGAAGGTAGCAATTATATTACAAAGAGTCCCTTACTTGATATTGTTCACAAGAGCACAATGTATGTTCTCATGTACCGTTTTGTTGAAAACCTTCTCGAAGTCCCAAATACCTACTTGACCTCTCTGTTATTCCCGTGACACACCCAATCACGTGTAGTTTAGAGTAAAAACAATATAAATTAGCATTTCAAAACAAAAAACAAAAAAAAAAACAAAAAACAAAAAACAAAACAATGAAAAAAAAAATATAAAAAGTCAGAATTCATCACAGTTTATCCTCATAACAGAGGTTAAACACAGAATTCAACGCGTTAAAGATAGTCATATGTCAATAAGCGATCACCTTGTCGCCAGAAATTAAAATGTTGTCTTTCGTCGGATGAAACTCCAAATACGTCACCCTCCGGCTGTGCAGCCGAATAATTGCACTGTCCACTTTGTTCGGAATAGCTTGCGGCAGATGCACCTGATTCATAAATCGTAAGCAGAACTTTAAATGCATGCTTTATCTAAGATTGTAATTCAGAGAAACCCAATTCAACTCTGAGAGGGCACAAAAGTATAAGGATGTCGCAATGAAGACATTTTGCTTTCAAAAATGCGGCATTCCAGAGAATATGACGCTGAGGTAGCTTACTGTGGGTACGTGGCTGCGAAATTGCCTCTCATGCACGAAATCAAGAAGACCTAAAGCCCGCCTGCGAGGAGCAGCAACAACCCCGTGCTCCGTTGCCATTCTATGCGGACATGTAAGTGTTGTATGACCTGCACAATAGAAAACTCAAATACATATACAAACGAGCTCCGTCTTCAAACTGCAAGTTTGAACCACTAGTATTTCACGAAGTCTGCAAGATAACCACTGTAGTACTAATGGCAATTCCCTCAGCAGCACTGCAGATACGTACAGTGAATTCCAGTCAACAGTCGAGTGATTAACAAAGACGACGCAAAGAACATATGCAGCATCTTAGACCCCCAAAAAAAAAGAAAAAAAGAAAATCCTAGCATAAGCTCCTCAGGATAATCTCAAAAACACAAGAATGACAAGTGAGGAATACAGACCCGGTTTCTTGCAGAGGTAACAGGGCTTGTTAGGACAATCCAGGTACACAGAACCCACAAAACCAGCTTGATGGTCTTTCGCCTTACATACCTGTGAATCACAAAAAATAAATAAATAAATAAATAAAGATTTCCATCGATTATCAATAACATGTTCTCGATACAAGAACAAGCCTTATCTACCAGGGCATCATCAGCAGATCATGAAAATCCAAGCTCATCAAAGAAAATTGGATCTTCAAAGGACCATGATAACAACCATTCTTCCACCGTGGCAGCCCACACGATGTACTATTAGCGTCAAGATACTAGCACACAGGCAGTCCTAACGACACATTCCCGTCCTTGACTTTAGAAACCATGCATCATATAGGGGATCCAAAAGTCCTCTTCAACTCAGTATCAGTTTCTCCAAGAAAGGCTAAAGTTTTCGCTACTGTTACACAGTCAAAACCTTAAAATGCACATACGTGTAGACAAGCCATACCACAAGAGTATGTGCATCACCATCAGCACGGATGGACAGACATGTTAAAACTCCACCGTCAGCAAGTATGATTAACATACGATGAGCTACATTATATCTGTGCTACAAGCTGAAGGTACGTTTTACATAGAACGTTGATCACAACTTTGGAAGCCAAGGGATGTACTCAACAAACCTTGCAAACTTTCTGGCCCTTCAGACTGATTGTGATGCGAGCTTTCCTCTTTTTCTGTTTCTTCTCTTCTTCCTCATTCTCTTCCTCCTCATGTTCCTCGCCTCCGGCATTCTCACCCTCGTCACCCTCTGCTTCTTCATCTTCCACATCCTTCGACTCTTCGTAATCTGAATCTACAAACTCCTCCTCCTCCTCCTCCTCCTCCTCCTCTTCCTCGGACGACTCTTCCGCATCACTCTCTCTTTGCACCACCACCATCCGCTTCCGCATTGCAGCCCTCGTCATTGTCATTTTTTTTTTTTTTTTTTTTTTTTTTTTTTTACCCCCTCAAAGACTAATAACACCACACTTGCTCTCCTAAACCACTCCCACAGCTTAATCGAAATTCTCACAAACGCACCACAGCCACCAAATTCACAACACTCCAGACATAACAGACCCACAAAGCAACAGCAACAACAACAACGCACCCAAAAAAAAAAAAAAAAAAAAAAAAAAAAAAACAATGCCCTCAGGAAGGAAGGAAAAGAAAAAAATCGCTCGTTCACTGGCACACTTGACACCGCTCCAAAACAACAACCTTAATTCCCGGACTCTCTTCCTCTAGTCACCGATCCACTCACCCGCACACGAATTCGAAAGCGACATTGCATCTTCAACGAAACAGATAAGCAAGTGCGTGACCAAGACCCGCCTCTGTCCGGCAGCCTCAAGTTGCCGACAATCACGGCCGTTATGAGCAAAGTCCATGCCCGCCGCAACCCAAAGAAACAAAAGGGAGAAAAATCTGGTGCGGGAATGTGATAGAATCACCGCATTCTTGAGCTGAGCCGATGAAAAGCTGTGCGAGGAGCATGAGTCTCAGGTAGCTTCAGTGAGAAGCTTCCCAAGGGAACAAATCCCCAAAACCCTGAGCAGAGGAAGAGTAGGAGAAAGCTTCGGAACCCCTTTCAACTTCTTCTTCAATCTTTCTTTTATCTTTCTACGACGCTACTCGCTTGCCTCCGCCGCCTTTCTTTTATGGGTTGTTGTTGTTAATGGGTGCGCTGCTAAATTGGGCACCCGATGAGAGAGGTACTAGCGTCGATCCTCCTCCTCATTGTCTTCGTTGCTGCTGCGTGCCCCCGCGACATTTGTTCACGTCATGTGGCTGCGACACTTCCACAGCGCCGTCGAGCTTTGAGCGCCGATGGCGGAGCGAGTCGCGGTGTGAACGGAGCGGCGATGACATTAGTGTGAATGGGGTTTTGTGGTTTGAATGGATGGATGGGTGCATGGATGGATGTCTCTGTTAGTTGGGTTGGAGGGGGATGTGTTTGGGGGATGGATGGATGAGGGAGGGCTGGTTTGAATGCTTGAATTAGGGCTCTATTTAAGAGAATTTCGTATATTTACAAATAAATAAGTAAGTAAAGAGTTTTGAGATGCAAGAGAGATTGTTTGGATGAAAGGTCGTTCTTTCATACAATTTTTCTTATGCATATTAATATATTTTATTGAATGTACATATTTAGTATGTACATGAACATGTTTTTAAAATGTGGTCCATGAACATGTTTTTAAAATCTATAAGAAAAATATATATATATATATATATATATATATATATATATATATTTTAAATTAAAAATATGTCAATATTTATTGTCTTTGGAATTTTATTACAACAGCTATAATAAAATATTTTTTCTAATATATATATATATATATATATATATATATATATATGATATTAATTTTTTAATGATTTTTTATTAATATTATTTTTAAAAAATTATAGTTGTTATTTTAATTTTTAAAATCAATTCTAAATATTTGTTTGAATTATTTTTATTATCATTAATATTTTTACAATATATTTATATCTTATCTTGCTAATACTCTTTTATAATATAATGAATTACCTTAAGACAACTCTATTATATTCTAATCACTTCTATAAATTCAAGTATATTTATTATTTAGACATATGAACATTATCAGTATTAATAAAATAAATTGCTACATTCTTAAAGATAAACAGTAGATTTATGTGATGGCATAAGAGAGTCTGCATTTTCTACTAAGTATTTATTATGGGGTGCAACAAAAATACACATTCCAACTACACTTATATTTTTGGGGTCTAAATTATATCTAAGAACAATTGCTAAGATATAAAATTCTATATTTATCTATATTATTTTGCCAAACTCTTAGACTCATGTTTCATAAAGCTTATGTTCTTGATTTAACAATATACTATTTTTAAGTTTTATGCTTTTAGTGTAGCTATACAATTTGATTTTTTGGGAAGAGCCATTTAAAATCATAGCATTATATGAAATAATTAAAGAAAAAAAAACATGTATCTTGCAAAAAAAAATCTTATTGAAGATTTCTAATTTTAACACATGACTATTCCAACTTCATTTCTTTGTAATCATTGATCTTTAAAATTAATATAAAGACAATGATACATATGTTTGTTAATCTCCTATCTTAATAACATCTTTTAAAATAATAATTTTTAAATTCTATAAAAAGTATACTTTTAGAAATTCTTCTTAGTCTTAGAAAATAACCATGAAGATATGTAGAAAGGTAGAAATATACAATGTAGGCCAATCTTTCATAATATAATAAAAAAATAACATCTTTATCAAATGAGTGTTGAAATGAATCATATTGATGCCTTAAAATCTTGTTTTGACTTACCTCTTAACTTATATTCTTAAAGTAGCAAATTATCAATTCTAAAAATATTGTATTGAATCTTACAACTTAGTTTTAATTTTAAGATAGGTTGCAAGTAATAATAAAACACTTTAAAATTTATGTATTATCTTGAAATACAAAAAGAAAGAAAATAAGAAATCTTAAGTGTCTTGATAAAGTTTTTTAGAAGATTAAGTATACTTCCAATCTTTTGACAATGGACCTTGATGAGATGAATAAAAAGATGTGAAATTAGACTTAAAATATCTTTCATCGTCACAATCCAAAAACTCTTAAATTATGACATTCAAAAAAAATTATTTCAATCAAAGTTTAATTTTTAAGATAGAAAATTGGTTTAATAGAAAGAATCATGTTACTCATTGTAAATTACCTTCATTACATTGTATGTTGTTTATCCCATTTGTTTCCTATGGATCTTTTGTAATGTTTTAAATCTTAGAGAGAAAATGCATAGATGACTTAATATATTTAGTTGAATTATTATTTCCATGTTACTTTACTTAATTCTTTAAATTCATTTTTTACAAGTTTCTTGTGGCATATTAATTTCTTTTGTTGCTTCACCTCCTATTTACTTAAATGCCTTATTTACAATGTAACTATTGTATCCTTATTTAGTCTACCGAAGTTCTAACTTCTCTTTATTATTGTAAAAAGAATAAATCTCAAGTCCATAAGAATCACTTTTTATTTCATAGGAGTAGATTATTCATTAGATTGTTCTATTATATAACCATTAGAATATACAAAGTTTAGGTTGGTGGATAGCAAGAACTTGGAGAAGCTATTTTTTGATGACAAACCATAGTACTTGGATATTAACTAATCAAGCTAAAAAGAAGTAGAAGTGTGACATTTTGTATTGATTTTTAAGCATGATTAAACTTTGATCATGTCAATTGCATCAACTTTACTTGCAAGTAATTGAACTTGTCTAATATTTTTTTAGTTTTCCAAGACAAGCTAATAAATTGACATAAGAATAGAAATTATTTTTAAATTAAGTATATTAAAAAATATATTTTTTAAAAAAAAAAAATAAATATATATTTTAAATAACCTCCATATTACATATAATTTTTGAGCATTCCAAAAACTTAAAAATAACATCTTTACTTGCTAAGACTACATCTACATTTGTGCATGACATTTTATTCATATAGTTTATTTTTATTTTTATATCAAAGCTTGAAACTACATGATTACTTAATGGTTTTATTATCAATTAGAAATCATGTCAATATGATGAAAGATAGATAATGTTGTTTTGGAGATTGTATCTATTTTTTCGGCCTCTTCAAATTTAAATCCATATATTTTTTACATAAATATTTCTAATTATAGTTACATATAATATGGAATTTAAATTTCAATCTTATATCATTATACATATATATATATATATATTAATTGGCTATTGAATTGCCACTATTAAGTCTTGTTTGTCTTTGAAAAAGCAAATGACTACTTTAATAAATCATTATTAGTTTCAAAAGCCATTACTACTTCCATCATTATTTCCTACATATTATTAGTTTTTAAAGTTGTGTCTTTTTTTTACAAGGCATATATATATATAAGGTTGAAATTACTATGGTTGCAATTTACTAATACTAAGCTAGCAATGGGTTGTAGTATTGGTAACAGATAACAATAAAGAATCATATTATAGAAAAAAATAGATATGTAGCTTTGTCATTGTTTTTCTTTGAATTTTAGATAGCTTATACCTATTTCTTCTTCTTAATCTACAAGACTAGTTACAATAACATTTTCTTGTTTTTTTGAGATATTAATACTATTATCTTTTCATGCCAAAATGCCTTTAATACTAGTTTTCTATGGTATTGTTATGTTAAGTAGTTTCTTATTAATTAAATGACTAAGAAACTCATTGTGAGAGGTATTGTATCAAGTATCACTAGTTGATTACTATCCTAGAAAAGATTTCATCTTTATTGACCATCCATTGCCTTACATTGGACCAAATAATGTGCATGTTTTTAACATTGTCAATGCAAAGAATATATACTACGTATAGAGTTGTAAGAGGATTTATATATATTCAATTTCTAAATTACTAATGATTTTTTTTATTAATTTATTTCTCCGTTTTTTACTACTAGAGTTTAGCTCTATTATTGCCTTTGTCTAATTGTGTAGTTCTATTACATTCATATCTTCTAAATTGTATGTTTTTCCATCTTTGTTTAATTTCTTGGCTTTCTTAACATTTTGCCTTAATTGACTGTTTTGATGGCCTTTAGAACTATACAAAGAAGTATAGTATTTGATTTGATGTATAGTTGCAAAATGAAATTAATACCAAAGTATTAAATAGTTATAATCAATTTGTACATACATCTTTTATTAAGAAATAAAGTTAGTGACAAGGATTTTCAGATTCCAACAAATTCTCAAGTGCATTGCCATATTATATTAGGATTCCAATCAATTTGTATTCTATAAGTCTTTACCATGAACTTCACCAAACTCACCAACAACCTTTGCAACAACTAACTTGAATTCTTTTGGTAAATATTTCAAAATAATTTATCTTAGAATATAGAACACTTTAAAATTAAATGTCAAGTTAGTGTTCCATACAATATTGTAGTCAAATGGCCAATCCCATGGTTTATATATTCAAATATCATAAGTAGTCTAATGTAAAGACAAAAGTAGGATATATTAGAATATGTCTTTTGATTTTATTCTAGTTAAAAATAAATAAATAAATAAATAATAATAACAACAAAAAAAAAAAAAAAAAAAAAAATTGCTAATAGTTTTAATAGGTCCCCTCATTGTGCCATTTAATACATGTGACAATTGATCAAATGTCATATGAAATTTAGTATTTTACTAAAATAATAAAATATAATGACATGTTTTGCAACAATGTAGTTTTAAAAATTGTTAAATCAAAATCCACGATTATTTAACAAGAGATAATTTTTACCAAGACAACAAAGTAAGTATAGTTGTGTTTGTATAGCAACTTTTTTTTTTGGTTGTGCTTAAGTTGGGTGAAGAAAATCTTCTTCTCACCACTTTTTAAGATCTTTTGTTATACCACTACAAATCTCATATCTAGTTCTTGTTGAAAATCTAGTATGGCCATTGGAGGCACATTTCATTGCAAAACATTTGCACAAAATATTGGCTTAGGATGTCTTTATAAATAATAAAGAAAAAAAACAAAGAAAATACATTTTTTAAATTTTGTAATAAAATAATCACTCTTGTTACATATGGTTGGTGATTGTTATAATATTCCTATTTTTATCTTATTTAATAGTTATAATTAAAATTCTTTATCAATCAATTCTTTTAATGAGCTGCGTACAAAAAATTGTATTCAGCGAAATGCACTTATTTGACCCCCAGCTCTTCATGTCCTACAAATCTGACATACAAGAGGTAGAAACCTTCCAAACCCAAACTTAAATGAATATCTAAAATCAAAATGCGAAATACTAAACAAACTTCCAAACAAGTAAACAACTGTTTTATAATTTCAGTAAACTACATAAACAAGTCAATAAGTGACTTGTGGCTTTGGTACAGATATTCTACAAATCCTAGACAAAGCGTTTTTCCCTCTGTCTGTAAAAAAGAGCAGCAAGCACTACCTCATGAAGAAAGAGTTATGTCATGATAAGCAAGCAAATACGTCTGTCTTCTGTAAAGCACTCTGGTGACAAACTGAAAATTGATTTTTCAGTTTTTTCATAAATGTGTAAAAATCTTTCTGTGAGCTTTTAATTCATGCTGTAGATTACGAAACTTGTTCCAACCCAAATTTTGAACTGTTCGATCCCAGAGATTAAAAGAATTGCTATCTAGTTCATTATAAATTAAATGTCTTCCTTAGAACTTGGCGGAACCAGAACACGGAGCTCTTAGGAAGCCTGGCCAAGCCATTTTTGTAGTCTACATAGTAGATTCCAAATCGGACGGTATACCCTTCTGACCACTCGAAGTTGTCCAGTAGAGACCATGCAAAGTAACCGCGTACATCACAACCATCCCTGAATCAAGACCAATCACCTTCTCATTAAAAACGAATGCTGAAAATCAAGTTTGCTGAAAAAAAAAAAACACGATTTGAAAATGGTTTTACCTGACTGCCAAAAGCACATTTTGCATGTAGTCGTGATAATATCGAATTCGTTCAGGATCTTTTAACTGGTCTTCAATAGGCATAGAATCCTCTTTGTTGAATTCAGCTCTACCGTTCTCAGTGACATATAGAATTGGATTGTGGTACCGTTCACTAACCCAATTTAACAGCTTTCTGATTCCAAATGGAACCACAAATAACCAGTCCGAAGGTGTCTACAAGAAGATTAAATATCGTTAATATTGTGCGAGAAACGTACTTGATATCATATCTAGTGAATAATAGTATCAAAGTACATAAATCCTACATTTAAAAAATTGAAACCATTATAATCGCAAGGATTTGGACAGAAAATAGACAATTAAACGACTTGTTTTTGGTAGCCATCACGTGTTGAAGGCTAGAACCATGCTTACTGGATCACCAATAGGCACACCATCTTTGTAATATGTTTTCACGATTTCACCACTGATGCCGAAAGTTGCATACATTGAAGTATAATGATTTATACCAACAAAGTCTTGTGAACCTTTGACAAGCGCTGCTTCTTCTGCAGTAAAGGTAGGTAGATTGGAACCCAAATTTCTCCGCATAGACGCAGGATAGTGGCCATAGAATATTGGATCAAGATACCTGTCAAATAATTGAATTTATCAGTTAAATATCTAAGTATCGTCTACATTCACATTAATCGTATTCACATTAGTAGTATCATTAAGGTAATTAAGGATTTAATCATTCAATTGAATTGAAGAAATATCTCTGTTTCAACAAATCACAATATTAAAGATTTGTTTCTCTCACCATCCTATATATGCTTCAACGGCTTCTTGTGCAGCTTGTTTGTCAGAACTTGAATTCGAATCAAGAGGCTCAAACCACATAGAGTCTGTAGTTATTCCAATCATACCCTGCTGTGTATCCTGTATTCACAGAATACTGCAAAATTAAAAACTATATAAAAATTCAGCATTAACTACAACCGTGATAAACAAAAATGTAGATTTAATGCAAAATCATAAAATAATGATAATTGTGAAAAACAAAAATTAAAAATGATTCGTCTTTAGATACCTTGAATTCTTTTCGATAAATATCAACAGCATGAGCATGTGATAACAAAGCATGATGAGCAACGATGTATGGTTCTGTATCAGAATTCCCGGCCACACAAACTGGTGCAGAACATCGCCCTGGAGCCATCACTCCCGTCATATAACCAGAAATTGCAAAAGTATGAATTTCGTTGAAGGTAATCCAATGCTTCACTTTGGAACCCCACCTTTCAAAACAAAATCTAGCGTACTTTGAAAATGAGTCTCTGCAATGGGTGTCATTAATAAAAGCATGATTAGTATCTTTAAACAAAAGAATAAAAATGAAAAGAAATTCTAAAGTTAAATTCAAAAAATCCACAAATTAAGCATTGCAACAAACAAAAATCGACAGTGAAGACGTACATAATATCAGGGCTTAACCACCCTCCAATTGAGTTATCAAGAGCTTGAGGCATGTCCCAATGATACAAAGTGACATAGGGATCAATGCCGAGCTCCAAGACGTGGTCAATGAGGTTATCATAATACTTCACTCCCTCCCAATTCACTACGCCTACACCGTCTGCACTTGCATAGATGTTACAAGTATAAGTCTTTGCATAACTTCAACACTATTGAGCTTCACTAAAACTCCAATTTTATTGAATAAAACATTTGCGAAACATTGCATGCACATTGTTGAATTGAAATCAGGTGAAGTTTTCATTACTTGGAAAAATGCGTGTCCATGAGATTGAGAATCGATAAGCATCCATGTTCAAATCCTTCAGTAACCAAATATCTTCCTGGCCAAATGTGGAGCAAAATAGAAAAGAAAGTGCAGTATCAGTACGATGGGAAAGTTATTGAACATTATAAGGTATAATATTTTTCCTTGGTTCATTAAAAACCAAAACTATTGAAGAAGGTGCACAAACAAATAAGGGCACATGTGTTCATACTGCATATCGATGATAATGATCCACGGCAATATCTCCGGTCTTGTTTCCTAATATTTTGCCTGGCTGATGTGAGAAGATGTCCCATATACTCGCACCTTTTCCGGCCTCCCTTGCAGCACCTTCAATCTGCATGAAAACCAAAATCGATCGTAAGCAAGTGAACTCATGCACAACAGACAAAACACTATAAAAGAGTTCAACAACAAAACCATTTGGGCAAATTTACCTGATAGGCAGCTGTCGAGGACCCAAACACAAATCCTGAAGGGAAGCTTGACCTTTGAACAGTTGGAAGCTCCTCGATAATCATAGGTCCTTCTCGGCACTCAGCGAATTCTTGAAAACTTTGAAAGACAAGGCAAACTGCGATTAACAATAAGCAGGCTCCCTTGCAAGTAGCCATCTTTGCAGCCTCAAACAGAAGATCTTTAAAATACAACTCCAACGTTCGTGCTGTGCCATGACACAAGAAAAGAGTCACAATCTGTTCCACTCCCAGCCTTCAACAACGGCGAGGAAGAGCAAAAGCTCACTAATAAGAGGTTAAAAACCAGTAGACTATTGTAGATTTGAACCAACTATTTTCAAGTCTCGTAAAGTTGCAAAAGGCTTCCAGAAAGAATTCGTGGGCACCTTCTAACTACCAATGCGTGGTAGCACTGAGCTGGATTCAGCAAGGATACCAGTCCTACTCCTAGAAAAACAAGAAAACTCTGATTCAAGCTCGGAAGTCTATAGTATTCAACGATATAGCGTACTAAGTGCAGACTCACACAATGTAAAGTTGCTTTGTAAAGCTGGAAATGAACTCCCAGCCAGCAAGCAGGAGGAGTGTGATGCTACTCAACGATTATGCCAATGGGTCGAGTATCCCTGCTCAATGAATACACAAGATCAAGATACAGATTTAATCCTAAACACACTCGATTCACTCGCAAAATCACAACATTAGTAAGAGACTGTCTTGCACATTTACGCGAACCCATGCACCATTGTCATCACAATTATTCCCTAAACCATGTCACGATTGAAGCACAGTATAAGTAACCATGAATCTTCTTGACAAGGATATGGTACCGCTGGACGACATTCAAATCCATAGACGCCTCCTAAACGACTTAATACAAGTGGGATCCAATGTTATGCCAAGAACTACAAGATCAAATAGTATCACTCCGTTGAGAAAAAATACGCAATGACCTAACGTCACGTATCACACAACAAGGGAAGCAAAATTCTAACCTCTGCAGGTCACATGTTCTCCACATGCACCCAATTTGCACGAGTCAAATAATCAGCTACTGACCAAAGATACACAACCACAGGCTACATGACTGTTCCATCACATCATGCAACGTCGAGCTCAATTCTAAAACAACCTCTCTCACTCTTTCTCTCTCACTCTCTCTCACACCCCCGTCCCTGTCCCCCCCCTCAAGAACAAACACCTGAAAGCTGAATTGAATCGCATTCCTCAACCTGCTGAACGCAGTAATTGTACCCGTGCTCGACCTGACATCTCCAGTCAAAAAGCAACAGAAGTGTGCAATCAAGCCTGAGGATCTAAAAATAGTTGATGATAAGGATGAACCTTAGAGTCCAGGCCAGCCAGCCACCATAGGGGGGCGGTGAGAGATTATAGAGCCCAATTGTGTGTGTTTGCACCTATGCCCGCAGTAAAGAAAACGTCTCTGCTACGACCCCAGCAAAATCCGATAAGCGAGTAGAGACATCACTCCCCCCAACCCCTCTTTCTTGTGACTTGTGCAATTGTCCCATGGATAGCCAAAAATAAAAAGTTGTTTCTTCGCCGGTCGTGCACAACAAGACAGAGCGCAGACCAATCCGATGGAATTGCACTCCGAGAAAGACTTGCTCCCCACCACCTTCCTCTCCTCTTCCTCTTCTTCCCCGTTGCCGTCACAAACCCTCCACCCATCTCGGCAACTAAAGATCAGTTGAGTGTCCATCATTCAGCGTCGTCACGGTCCTACTCCAGATTCCTCGTTGCTCTGCGAGACCATATGACATCGACGACGAATCCTCGATCCCCAACACTAACTATACCCCACAGACGCATTTTGGACGTGTCCCCCGCCCCCTCGTCGGTTCCTCCTCGGTTGTTCCGACGCAATGCAGAAGTCGGCCTTTCCTCGTTCCCTCCGCCCTTGCCTCTCTCTCTGGATGAGACATATTTCGAATCGTGGATGGATGTGGAGATTCGTTGTAAAGGTCGTTTGGTTGGTTTTGGATGAATGTCGTTGACGTGGATTGGAACCGAAGGTTCGTTGGCGTGTTTGGTTATGTGTTCTTTTTTCTTTTTCTTTTTCTTTTAATTTTTTTTGTTTCTTATTGTGTTGAGAAAATGATGGATTCTTTGTTAGAGTGTAGTGTGATTTGTTTGCTACTTTTTGGTTGCCACCTCAACTAGATCATCTCAAAAGATACTCTTTGGAGTTATGGGATAAGGTAGGCAACCCATTTCCAATAACTTAAGTATTTCAGCATATTTACAATAAGTGTAAAAATAAAATAAAATAATCTCCATGTAGGAAAATAGAAATGAGGAGGACTCCAAGTGCTCTTCCAATTTGGCCCAAAAATGGAATTTGTATAAATACTTTAGCTAAAGATTCTCTTCAACCCATTTCCAACATATGGGCCAATCTAATTCCAATCATAGGCCAATTTAATTCTGATCAGAAGTGGGTTACAAAACTAAGAATCCAACTTTTACAAAACCAAGAAGTGTGGCACCTACTTATGCTATCAAGAGAAGTATGGCATCTAATTATATTATTATTCCACTCCAATCTAACACAACAATTGTCAACTATTGATAATTCATGCATACTCATTCCAAGTACAATTAATTTCATATATCAATCTCAAATTAACATTATTTTAATCAACCCCCAATCTATTTTTGATCAATGTGGATGTCAAATCTAGTCATCAGACTAACAAAATTAGATAGGCCTATATATTGGAAATAGAGGGATGGTCAACTATGGGTCAGCTGCCTTATTGAAAAGTAATGACAATCAATTATTTGACTAGGAAATGAAAAAAGAATTTTATCCATTTCTAATTTGTATTTATGATTTTAAACTCTGGCATAATAGACAAGGCATTATTGAACAAGTTTTGATATTTTATATTGACGATTATTATATGAAATTCTCTATTTAATATTAATTATAATGATATGAAAATACATATGATTTATTTTAGTAAAAATACAAATTTTATGTAATATCTCTCTATGGATATATATATATATATATATATACATATAATCATTAATTGAGATTTTTTTGTGATTTTTCATAAATTTTTTTTGTGATTTGGAAATAATCAAAGAATTTATTTATTTATTTATTTAACCATTACTGCAAACATCATTCTCCTTGTTGTGCACTTCCACCTCCATGGCATTGCACCATAGATGTCATATTGCAACCCTTGTTTTGATTGGTAGAAAATGGGGCCAACACCCTTCAATATCCTGAAAGAGTGAATGAAACTTTTAAAAAATTAAAAAGACAGACTCAACAGGAAAGATGGACAATACAGTTTTGTGACACTCACTTTTTGTTTGTAAATGTCAGCCTCCTTGTCTGATTTTGAGACAATCCACAAGGCTGTACAACAATATAGAAAACTACAAATAAATCTATGGCATCAAACTACTTTTGTTGCTGTTCCTTTCCATTCTGTTTGGAAAAAGGCATTACTCCAAATCACATGATGTGGTTGGCTATGGCTATCTACCTCTACTTTTTTGGAGTTAAATCCCCCAAAAATTTGATTTTGGACTTTAGGGTGGAGAGGGACATGAATAGTAGTAATAGTGTGTTTTTTTTTTTTTTTTTTTTTTTTTTTTTGAATTAGAGTATATGGGTCCAAATGTCTCCTTGCAAAGCAAGACAAATGAGCACATCATGAATGGGCTTGGAATGGAGCCCCCCCCCCCCCCCCCTCAAATGAATACTTGAGATGGGTCAAGGACCTCCAAAATGCCACCACTGTCTCAACAACAAACATGATGCAATACTCTCCCTCAGTCCCATCCTTCCCATTCCCTGCTCTAATTCTCAATTACAGGGAGCTCTAGGTAACTTCAAGTGAAATGACTCCTCTTTATGTACAGTTTTGAATGATAAGTTATATCCACTCCTTAAGTATGAGGGGTTACATAGATACCGTATGAATATATATGTTGCCTGAAATAACGGCTATCGCAGGCTAGGTTACTCTCTGCTCGCCTCCATAGCTTAGTGGTAGAGCGTTCCCTTCGTAAGGGAAAGGTCGTGAGTTCGATCCTCACTGGGGGCACACGTAGCCAATTTATAGTTTCGCATTTCATAATGCCCAGCAATGGGTTGGCATGTTTTTCACAACTATAGCTACACTCTAGTTTTGAGTCACAAAGTCTCTCACATGAGCAGGAAATTGCATAGCAACAGAAGCAGATATGTAAACAAGGTGAACTACAAAATACAGATAAATAATAATAATAACTAGGGTGACAATTATTAATTTTGACATGTATTAAAGATCTTGAAATTCTCTAAAGAGACATTCATGAACTCCATCTTTTTACATCAATATGTTCTTATTTTCATTCTCATCAATAGTGCTTAATTTTTGTGACAGCTTTTGAAACACATCATCAATCCAGATCAACAAATGATATTTGTTGATGACGAGTGTATTCCTTGAAAAAACCCACAAAAAATAAAAAAAATAAAAAAATATAACATATTTCATTTAGTTGGAAGAATGCAAAGTAAGAATCTCACCTTCTCCATGCGACACAAAACAATCAATTCTTTAACAACACCATGTCCCTTATATATATAAAGAGGGGGAAGTAGAAAGTAAAACAAAACAAAACAAAACAAATAGTTAATGTTTAAATACACTCACTGGATTCAAAGTCACACCACTGAGTCAGATAAAGTTAAAATCTCCAATCACAGAAGCCATGGTCAGTAAAAGAAATGACAAAAAAGAGCAAAAGAAAAAAAGAAAAGAAAAGAAAAAGACATCCAAACACTGACACACACCAACAAAATCCTTTTTCGTTGAGGATAACTGTTTAGGGTTTTTGCGGCTCCACCCAACAAAGTCACACACACTCGCGGGGGCTGTTGTATTTTGGATTGAGAGGCCATAAGTTAAGGCGCAACCAAACAATCAAATCTCTCGCTCGGTGATGGGCCGTGATCAGCGCGCGGTGATTTTGCACCACGATGGGGCAAGTGCCGGGGACATGAACTTATTCCAATCTCCACTTGGATGAGGTGGCGAATCCATGGCATGGGCCCGGCTGCCGTGGATCCGAGGCACAGTTCCCTCCCGTCTGGATAATGGTCGTCGGCACCTGGAGTGTGGTGGCCCGACTGCGTCAACCACTAGATAGGCTAGTGGAGCGGCGTGCGTGCCTGTTTTGTTTTGTTTTTGTTTTTATTTTGTGGGTGTTGTAATTGCGAAACGTTTCCTTGCTGTGGGGGTTTGACCCGTCTCTGCGTCGTCGAGTTTATGCCGTTGGGCTCTGTTTATGAGTGCAAACATTCATACCAAACTTGCGTTGCGCTGTGGCTCACGATAACCTCGCAATTATTCCATCGCCCAGAGCTTGCTCGTCTTGCATTACCCTTTCAATGAGCGCCATCTTCTTCTTCTTCTTAGTCGGATTTTGAGTTTGCAATTGGCGAGGGTCAAGTACGGAGGGAATTGTGGCCGAACATCTGGTTTGGAACTTTTGTAATATGAAACTATTGATATTGTTTTTCTCTTTTGAAAAATGACATGAAATTAAAAAGAAGAAGAAGAAAAAAAAAAAAACTTGAAAGAAGTGACAAATATGGATGTATGAATGTGTATATTTCAATTGTTTTTAGAAAATAAGATTTAGATTTGCAATGTACTAAAACAATTGCTCATTTACCTACTCTAAGTAAAGTTGTACATTGTGAATATTTTAAAGAAATCTTGTTTAGTTTTTTGAAGTAGTTCGTAAACTTACACAAATATTAATTTTGAACTATGATATAAGTGGGAGAATTGGCTTTAAGATTGTCAAAGTTGTGGAATAATTGGTTAAAAATTAGTGTCTTCTAAACTTGTAGAAGGTTTGTCATAGGATTGTATCCTTGCACCACTAAACTAAAGTTAAGGCTAAATACTAGTCATTGCACCATGTTTTAGGTTTTCTTTTTTGAATTTTTATTTTAATCGTTTTTGTTATAATAGTGGTAGCAGTAGTGTTGTATACTAAGAGAATTAAAAGTAGAATAACTTGTGAACAAATCCAACTTACAAAGATGCCAAAATTTCTAAAACACACATATATTTTCTCTTGGATTTCATACATAAAATTAAGATGTTGGCAACCCTCAAACCTTCACTTAATTGAAGGTTGTCACCATCCCACAAAACCCTCTTTAAGTGAGTCAATGCTTGCCATGTCAAAAAGTCATTGACATTTATTAATTCATACAATGCCTCAAGAAATTTTTGTTAATAAAAGAAATTATGTAAAATAAAATTACAAATTTATAATAAAATATGATAATAGTTTATTTTGTTGGAAAAAACCTTAATAATTCTAAATCCAAGCTATAAAAAATAGACCTTGAAATTATCACAAAAGTAACAATGATTTCAAAAAAGAATTTAGGTTGTGAATATTTATATCTTAAGACATCTTCTAAAGAAGACAATTGATGTATATTATCCAAATCTTTGTAAAATTCAAAACTTGGAATATGTATGTTTCAATCATAGGATCCAAATTTTGATCTTTGTGCAATCTAAAATCTAAAATCTAAATAGTTTTTTTATATAATGTCCTTCAAAATTGTGACATGAATAGTGCTAGAAAGAATTTGGAAGATTTTTATTTTTTTTGTTACATTAAAGATTGTCA